TCCACACTGGCCTTCTCATCCCCCTTCACTCTTGTGCTGGAAATGTTGATCAGTCTGTCATATTGTTACGCAGTCCTCCTTTCCTAAGTCTTGTCATGAACCTAATCAAAGCAAGCAGTACCACAACATTTGTGGGTTGGCACACAAGACACTAGGGCATAGCAGGTCATAGACTTGGTATTAGAAGTAGAAACAGGAAAGATGTGGCGGAGACTGGAGCCAGTTGGTCGACAGTAGGCCTGTTTTACCAAAGACGTGGTCCGTACGCCTCGGGTGGCAGAGGTCGAGTGAAATACGTGAACCAGGGCGATAGCAGACGGATCCTACGGGGCAAGAGGGAGACTTTGATAAGACCTAGGGAATGAGGACTGCGTAACAATATGGCAGATTCTGATCAACATTACCAGAACAAGGGTGAAGGGTGGTGAGAACGCCAGCGTGGAGTGTGAAGGGCACACCACACAACATCAAAATAAGCACTGTAAAAATTGTAACAGTGATGGGGTGATGCGAGGATATAGGAAATGTGAATAGACTAGGGAGAAGGAGGGATACCACAACTTTTTAGCACACGTTTGGCCAAAGGATCGGCTTCACATGTCTCTTTGACGAGTTGTTGAATGGTCCTAAGAATGGCAAGACTCACTGACTATGCCGACTACGAAACCAACAAAACGTCTGGGAATGATGATGCATATAATGGACTCCGGACTTGGTACGCTCCTCTAAGTCTTCCTACCAATATAACCAAGTTGCGAAAACAAAGTCAAACAACTTCAATAATAAACATAGTCATAATCATCATCCTGGTTCTGATCATCATCATCGACATCATCCTTCATATCCATCTTCCTATTTAAGCTTCATTTTCAATATATTCTTCATTCATCTATCTTCTATTCATCAATATCATCGCCATCATAATCATCATCGTCATCATAAACATCCTCCTCCTAACCCTAATAGTTATCATCATCGTCTTATTCCTTCTTTTCATCATCATCATCATCATCATCACCATCATAACCTTCGCACTCATCGTAATCACCATTAACGTATTTGTTCTTATGATGATGATCAACACCATCTCCATGCTCATCATAAACTTCCGCCTCCCTGTACTTATCGTCATTCTCATCATCATCAT